GTGCCTGCTGGCCATCTGTATTTCCTCTTTGAAGAAGTATCTTTTTAGCTCTTTTGCCCATATTTTGACTAGATTCTTTATTTTGTTTTTGTTGAGTTGTATAAACTCTTTGTAGATCTTTGATATCAGGTGTACCATATTTTATAATTAGTGACTTGTTTGCTTGTTTTTTGTATGTAAATTCATGGCCAGCAGAAAAATGAGCAAAAAACAGGGGCATTTTGCAGGGAGAACATGGGAAAATATTTTCAATCTCACTATTAAAGGAATTCAAAACAAAGCTACAAAGTGATCATTTACACTTATAAAACTCACAAAATTAAAAAAAAATCATGATAGCCAAATGTGTGAACAATGTACAGAAAAATAAACACCCTTGTACCCACTGTAGGTGCGGGTGCAGACTGGCAGTAGTTCCATGGACAGCAATCTGGCAATAGCTCCCAACACATGGAATCCTGTGACCCAAAAATACAACTAGGAAATGAGAAATGGTATAGACAATCTAAATGTTCATAATAGGAGACTGAATAAATTATGTTATAATTATAAATGGAATATTATGCAACTTTTAAAAAGAAGAAAGTAGCTCTGTACCTGAAGATATGGAAGGTTCTCCAAGATACACTGTCAAGTTAAAAATGAAAAAACCAGGGACTCCCTGCTGGCACAAGAGGTGAGGCACTGCACTATGAAGCAGTCCGCAGCCTCTGCGGCATGAGTTCGGTCCCCGGCTGGCCAGAGAGCAACCTACGTGGCACAGCAGACCTCTCCTGTCTTGCCCGCTGCTCCCCTTGGCAGTGTATTTTAGTCAGTATGCCTGTTCTGTTCCCCATTCTGTCTCTGGTGAATCCTCTCACCCCCTGCATCTCTGGCCTATATCCCAGCTCTAGTATGCATAAATAAATCAATCTTAAAAAAAAAAAAAAGAAAAAACCAGAAAAGTAGTTCACTATGCCATCACTTGCATATGCAAACATATGTAAGTATATTTTATATATATCTCATATATATGTGTTTATATATATTTATATATATATATATATATATTTGCTTGTCTGGTAACTCTTAGACATTTCTAGAGTGAATCTAAATTAGTTAAACCCTGACAGAGTTAATTTGACAATATTTATCAAAATTACAAATATTTATGCCCTTTGTGATTGTTTAAAAAAATATGTCCACGGGGCCTCCCTGGTGGCACAAAGGGTTAAGTCTCAGCACTATGAAGCTATCTGCAGCCACTGCAACATGAGTTCAACCTCCGGCCAGGGGGCTAACCCACATGGCACAGCAGACCTCTCCTGACTCACCCACTGCTCCCCTCAGCAGTGTACTTTAGTCAATCTGCCTATTCTGTTCCCCAGTCTGTCTCTGGTAAATCCTCTCACCCCCAACACCTCTGGCCTGTACCCCAGTTCTTGGATGCATAAATAAATAAATCTTTAAAAAACAAAAACAAAATATGTCCACAAATTCTTAACTACTTTTCCCTTTAAAAGGTAAGAGTCCCTGGTGTAGTCTGGACTTAAGAGTAACTGATTTTTTTTTTTTAAAGGAATCTTATTTTTTTTTTAAGATTTACTTATTTATTTATACAAGCACTGGGTACAGTAAGAAGCGCAGGAGGGTGAGAGGATTCACCAGAGCCAGAACAGCGAACAGAACAGGCAGAAGGACCGAAGTACATTGCTGAGGGGAGCAGCGGGCGGCAGGAGAAGTCTGCGCACCAAGTGGGACCCTTGCTGGCGGCCGGCATCGCAGCTTTGCAGCCCAGCGCTCAACCGCTGCGCCACCAGGGGAGGCCCAAGAGTAACTGACTTCTAATGAAAAGCATGAAGTAGAAGAATTTAGGTCATAAAAGGCACTGTGGCTTCTGTCTTGTCCTGTGATCACAACGCACCGGAGAAACCAGTAATCATGTCGTGAAGACAAGCAGCCCTGTTCAAAAGGCCTGTACGACAAGGAATGGAGGACTTGAGCCAACAGCCAGGTTTATGAACCTTATTGGAAGTGGAACCACCAACCAACCAGGCCTCAGATGACTGCAACCCTGGCTGACAGCTGGACTGGAAGTTCATGGGGAATGCTGGACCAGAATAACCAGCAAATCACAATCAGACTCCTGATCCTTAGAAAATGTGTCAGGTAAAAGTTATTTTAAGTCATTAAGTCTTAAGGTAATTTGTTATACAGTGATAAATAACTAATACATCCTTTAATCTAAGAATCTGTGGACTTTTAGAAACATCTTCTAGTCTCTAATTCTCACTATCCCAACTTAAACACTGGTGTAAATTTTTGGATAAACACCTTTCTAATCTAAGTTTTACTACTGACTAAGAACCAAATATATTCAGATAATGTGGGTTCCCCTGTTATCAGATCTATCTGAACTTGAGAACCAAAGAGTATGACCAACATATGTGTGAAAGAACAGACTACAAAGTTTAAAGTTTCATTTGTAGGGCCTCCCCTGGTGGCGCAGGCAGTTGAGCGCCTCGCTGTGAAGCTGTCCGCAACCTCTGCAATGCCGGTTTGATCCCGACCGGCGAGGGTCCCACATGGTATGGCAGACCTCTCCTGTCGCACCCACTGTTCCCCTCAGCAGTGTATTTCGTCAGTCTGCCTGTTCTGCTCCCCACTCTGTCTCTAGTGAGTTCTCTCACCTTCCCACGCATCTGGCCTGTACCCCTGTTCTTGTATAAATAAATAAATAAATCTTTAAAAAAACAAAAACAAAAACTACTTTCAAAAGAAAAAAAATAGTTTCATTTGTAAAGGCAAAGTATGGGGGGAGGGGCTGGTAATTTACCTGATCCCACAATAGAAAATGATACTGTTGTTTAAAAAAAGAATACTCTGGGGCCTCCCCTGGTGGCACAGTGGTTGAGCGCTGGGCTGCAGAGCTGCCCGCAGCCTCTGCAGCGCAGGTTCAATCCCTGGCCGCCGGCGAGGGTCCCACATGGTGCGACAGACCTCTCCTGCCACACCCGCTGCTCCCCTCAGCAGTGTATTTCATCAGTCTGCCTGTTCTGTTCCCCTCTCTGGCTCTGGTGAATTCCTTCACCCTCCCATGCCTCTGACTATACCCAGTGCTTGTATAAATAAATAAATAAATAAATAAATCTTTAAAAATAAAATACTCTGTGCATTGATATGGAATGACATTTAGGACAAAATATTTAATAGCAAGAAAGAACAAAGTGCACAAAATGTGGTCTCTTCTTTTATGAAAGAAAAAAGAATATTTGTTCATATTTGCCTTCTTTGGATAAAGAAACTCAGAATATTTACTAGGAAGGGGAAAAAAGTGACTATCTCTCTGGGAAAAGGGGATAGAAATTAGGAACCTAGGGGAAAGGAAGGAGAGTAAGATCTTCCCACATTAATTTTTTTTTTTTAAAGATTTACTTATTTATTTATATAAGCACTGGGTACAGTCAGAAGCGCAGGAGGGTGAGAGAATTCACCAGAGCCAGAGCGGGGAGCAGAACAGGCAGAAGGACCGAAGTACACTGCTGAGGGGAGCAGCGGGTGGCAGGAGAGGTCTGCGCGCCATGTGGGACCCTCCTCCAGTGGCCGGGGAACAGCCGAGGATCGAACAGGCGCTGCAGAGGCTGTAGGTACCTTCGCAACCCAGGGCTCAACCGCTGCACCACCAGGGAGGCCCTTCCCACATTAATTTTTAATTCTGACTTTTTAACCATGTGAATGCATTAGTTTTTTAAAATCATGTTTTCTGACAATGTTGAAGGTATAGAACAATTATCATTCAAGGAAGTTTTTTAGCTGTGTATAAAAATACAGAAGCAATGATAAACATAACTAACATACTAGAACTTTCAAACTCCTAAGTAGTTATATTATGATTTTCATTAGTATCTTTTCTACTTAGTCATTCTCATGATGCTTCACAGAAATGACTACAGAGATAATTGTGTGTTCCTATTTATTATAATGACTACTTGAAATTTTTATACGATTTCATAGCTGAAATAATATAAGTCAGTGAAGTCCAAAATTGATCCTTAACACACCACCCTGGGGTGGTGTGCCAGACTCCACCACAGAGCTCAGTTGGGAAGAAATAAGGGGGCCAGATCTGGGAAACTGCATTTAACAAAACAAATAAAACTCCTGCACCAATGGTGATGCAACCCCTGCCCCCTTGCACACACATGAGGAAACTAGAGTTCAAATTGATGAAGGAATTTTTAAAGATATGAAACCAGTGAAAAACAGAAGTGGCACTGGAACTGTCATCTCTTAACTCCTAATCCAGTCTTTGTTTTTTTCCATTCCCTCTAGCCCTGCTGACAGTGAAGGACCAGAAAGGAAAAGGATGTCATCCAACATACATTTACGTTTTCTTTTTTCTCTTCTCCTTGATTTTCAGTTGTGGAAGACAACTGTCTATTTCTCTAAGGGGTAATATAATTATTTTGCATATTTTATACTTTTCCCAAAATAGGAGAGTGAATTATAGTTGGTTGCTCCTGAAACTCTCAGTAGACTAGCACAAGGTTGGGAAACCACAACCTGCGTGCCAAATGCAAGCAGGTACCTGTTTTTGTAAATAAAGTTTCACTGAAACATAGCTATACCTATTCATTTTCATATTGTCTTTAACTGTTTTCTTACTTCAGTAGCAGACTCAAGTAGTTGTGACATTATCTTACCCTTTGCATAAAAGGTCTGCTGATACTGGTTTAAAATCATGAACATTATCCTCTGTCATTAAGGACAGATGGCAATAGGAACTACTTTTTAGTTATGTTGTGATGCTGATTATCAAGACAGTCAACTGTTCTTGTGGAGGAGATAATTAGCAGCAAATAGCTAAATGATATGGAGAAACAAAAGACTTAGCAACAAAGACCTGCAAGTAGATATGCAGGACCTGAGTGCATGATAACATTACAGCTGTGTATGAAATTGCGGAGCAATCCTGACTCTGAATGGCAGCTAGTAAGACCTTGCCCTGCCTCCCAGCTTACCTGTTCTGCCAGCCAGGCAATGTGCTTGACCTCCTTGCTGCCTCCTGCTGTACTGGTTGCACCAAGCATGGCATTAAGTTCAGCCAACACCTGTGGGAGGAGAGCCATTATGTTGGTGTGGATAGCTACGAACCAGGAGTGTGCTGTGGCTGTGTCCTTGCAGCGTAGAATCAGTGTGTTCCTGCTATCAGGAGAATGTAGTTCTATCAATCTGTGTGGAAAAAAAGACAAAAAAAAAAAAGTGAGCTAGATCAGAAGTCATCAAAATGGTCAGGGTTTAACATACAAAACTGCAAATCTATTTTAATTTTACATTCTAGAATAGAGAAAATTTCTCTTATTTCCTCTGGGTCTAATTCCAAAGCAGACCACATATGGAAAGACAATCATCAGACAAACTCCTGGGTCTCTTGTTTCAGTGTGCTAATGTGATGACTATGATGAGGGAACCTATTATATAGTCTTTAGTAGACAACTTCACTTTGCTTAATTTCTATGTCAAAAAAAGAAAAGCAAGCTTGTTGAATCCCACAGGCACAATGCAAAGAAGGAACTGAATTCTTTTTTAAATACTTTGGAAATTTTACTATAAGGTATTACTGGGTAAATAAAACCTAGTGCCAAATAGTGAACTGAAATTTCCAGTGTGTGAAATAATGAAAAGAGAAATTAGCAGAATATGGATTTTTATGAAAATTTGGAACTACCTGTTAGTGTCTGAATAATAGATGATTAAACCATCCACTGAGACATAACACAAAAATAGGTAAGAGGTCTTTGAAGATCTGACTGTTATTTGTTGATGTTCCACTGAGAATAATCTAAACTTCAAATGTTATCTGTAGGTATTGCCAAGACAATGTTTTAAAATTTTTTTAAAAGATTTATTTATTTATGCATACAAGAACTGGGGTATAGGCTAGAAGTGTAGGGGGTGAGAGGATTCACCAGAGACAGAGTAGGGAACAGAACAGGCAGATTGACTGAAATACACTGCTGAGGGGAGCAGCGGCTGAGTCAGGAGAGGTCTGCTGCACCATGTGGGTAGCTCCCTGGCTGGGGATCAAACTCCTGCTGCAGTGGCTGCAGGTAGCTTCACAGGTTGCATCTTAACCCATTGCGCCACCAGGGAGTGCCCCCCCCCAATTTTTTTTAAAGTACATTGAATAAATCCTTTATCAATTTACTGGATAGTGCTTGGACAAACTTTTTGCCAAATATAAAAACCAAATAAATGATTAACATATACATAATGCTGTGGTCTAAAAGTAAATATATAGATCCTTCAAAAATAAAGAAAAAGCTCTTTAGAGAGTTTTTTCATGGTAGACTAGAAACTGACAATCTGCAACTGACAGGGAGAGAACTTTTTTCCTTTTATCTTTCTGAAGACAGTTTTTGCTGTCTTGAAGAACTATCATCAGGCCCTGCACCACCTGTCAATAAGAATTTATAACTCTTGATTTTATAATTTCTTTTATATGAAAAAACCATTTTAATGTACACTAACATTTTCCCCTTGAAATCTGAGTTCCTCTCTTTTGTCACATTTCTAAAATCTTTCAATTCCAATTATTTTAATTTGCCATATTTAACATGCCAAGTATTTATTTTCAGTTGAACTCTTAACAATCTATCCTTCCTTAAATATTTATTGCACACCAACAGTATGCCAGATACTGTATGGATGCATTTGGTCCATAATAGGGGAGACAGAAGATGAACAATTAACGTATACAAACTACAGGTGACAAGGAGTCCTTTTATAAAGGACAGTGATGACCATCAAGAAGTTCTTGTCTAGGGCCTCCCCGGTGGCGCAGCGGTTGAACGCTGGGTTGCGAACCTGCCCGCAGCCTCTGCAGTGCCAGTTCGATCCTCGGCTGCTTCCCGGCTACCGGAGGAGGGTCCCACATGGCGCGCAGACCTCTCCTGCCGCCCGCTGCTCCCCTCAGCAGTGTGCTTTGGTCCTTCTGCCTGCTCTGCTCCCCGCTCTGGCTCTGGTGAATTCTCTCACCCTCCCGCGCTTCTGACTGTACCCAGTGCTTGTATAAATAAATAAATAAAAATAAAATCTTAAAAAAAAAAAAAAAAAGAAGTTCTTGTCTAAAAAAGGGACTCCCAAGATGGTAGTGGCAAAGCAGGGCTGCAACAGAGGCCTCTGCATTTCCAAGACACACTTACCCACATGCTAAGTTCTTTTGTTAAAATAGTCAAAATAACCCAAATTCATACTTGAAAGTACATGATTAGTTACAGGTGAATCTTTTTGTAGCAAGTCATAAGCTATTTGCTTTTCAGTTACAGTTCTGATTAATTTTTTAATTTGATTTCCTATCCTATAATTAAATACTGAAAAGTACCTTGGAACCAAAATTTAGGGAATTTTGAAAAGGAGGTGAATTCTGGAAATATTAATTGGTAAGCAACATAAAACCACTGAGAATTCTCAAGGAGGGAACAGTAAGATCAAAACAATGAATAAAAAATAACAGTGAGTTAGTTGTATACCATGTTCATGGTATCATTATTCACAATAGTTATAAAAGTACAGGGAACCCCAATGAACATTGACAGATGAATGGATAAACAAAATGTGGTCTGTTCATACAATGGAATATTATTCAATATTAAAAAGGAAGGAAATTCTGACACATGATACAGCATGGATGAACCTTAAGGATATTATGTGAAATAAGCCAGTCACAACAGGCCAAGTATTGTATGATCCCACTTAAAATTTTATACAGTAGTTAAACTCAGAAACAGAAAGTAGAATGCTAGTTGTCAAGGGTTGAGAGGAAGAGAAGATGGGGAAGTGTTGTGTTGTGGGTATAGAGTTCAGTTTTGCAAGATGAAAAAGTTGTGGAGATTAGTTGTACAACAATATAAATATAATTTCATACAACTCAACTGTACAGTTAAAAATGGGTAAGATGGTAACTTTCATGTTATGTGCATTTTGCACAATTAAAAGAAATTTTAAAATAAGTATATTTTAAAACAATCTTATGGTGGAATGTGAGATGGATTACAATAGAGAGAAAAACAGTCTGGGGAGATTTAATCAGATCCAAGAAGGATGTGACTACTCAGAGCTCATCAGTAGGACAGACTTCTAGACATGAGGAGCTCCTCCACACTAAAATCCCAGCAAAGGTAGGAAGGGATCTTTAATAAATAGTTTAACATTCATATTGACCTTTATTTAGGTCTCCATGTTCTTTTGTTATGGATTTTAATGTTATTTTTTACGATAGCAGTTATTGCTTTCAAGGCTCTTAAACATTTGTTAGCTAAAAAAATTATATTCTCTAGATGAAAAATAGCTCTAAAACAATACATTACATAACAATAAAATACCACACCAAATAGAATGATCTCTATTATAATGCTTTTGAGAATAGATTATAATGACTATTCAGAGAAACTGCTCAAACAGTCATTAAAGAACCTAAGCTTATTTTAGAGTGGATTTACTTTTTTTTTTTTTAAAGATTTATTTTTATTTATTTACTTATTTATACAAGCACTGGGTACAGTCAGAAGCGCGGGAGGGCGAGAGAATTCACCAGAGCCAGAGCGGGGAGCAGAGCAGGCAGAAGGACCGAAGTACACTGCTGAGGGGAGCAGCGGGCGGCAGGAGAGGTCTGCGCGCCAGGTGGGACCCTCCTCCGGTGGCTGGGGAGCAGCCGGGGATCGAACTGGCGCTGCAGAGGCTGCGGGCAGCTTCGCAACCCAGCGCTCAACCGCTGCGCCACCGGGGAGGCCCCCTAGAGTGGATTTACTTAATGATAGTAATTATCAATAAAATGCATTGCTAGATTATTAGATAATGTATGAATGCAAACCAAAATAAGTTACTTTATATTTTCTTTATTAGTACTAGTTAATATTAAATTCTTAAAAAGTATTTTTCTAAATCCTTATATAAAAACAGGTTTAAGAGGATTTATTTTTAAAGATTTATTTATTTATGACATACAAGAGTTGGGGTACAGGCCAGAGGTGCAGGGGGGTGAGAGGATTCACCAGAGACAGTGGGGAGCAGAACATCCAGATTGACTGAATACGCTGCTGAGGGGATCAGCTGGGTGAGACAGGAGAAGTCTGCTGTGCCATATGGGTATCTCCCTGGCAGGCCAGGAATGGAACTTGTGCTGAAGAGGCTGCGGACAGCTTCATAGTACTGTGCTTAACCCCTTGTGCCACCAGGGAGGCCAACGAGGATTTTAATATAAAAAAATTAATAGGCTTTTGTTTATTAGCAGCATTGGCTTTACAGAAAGAAAAAATGACTAAAAAGTAGAGAGCTGCCAAATGCCTTTCCCTCCATAACATCCTGTTATTAACATTGTGTATGAGTGTGCCTCACAGTTGATAAGCCATTATTGATACATTATTATTTACAAAAGTTCACAGTTTACATTATGATTCACTCTTTATGTTGTATATTCTGAGCTTTGATAAATGTATAATGACTACACATGCCATTACAGAACTATTTTGCTAGTCTAAAAATTCCCTGTGCTCGACCTATTGATTGCTTCATCACTCACCCTCTCTCCCTTCACACTACTGCAAACTCCTGGCTGAGCTTTTAAGTGTCTCCAGGGAGCTGAACAGTATGTGGCATTTTCAGATTGGCTTCTTTCACTCTGGAATATGCACTTAAGGTTCCTCCAATGTCTTTTCATGGCTTGATAGCTTATTTCTTTTTTTTTTTTTTTTTAAAGATTTATTTATTCATGCATACAAGAACCGGGGTACAGACCAAATGCGCAGGAGGGTAAGAGAATTCACCAGAGACAGAGCGGGGAGCAGAACAGGCAGATTTACTGAAATACACTGCTGATGGGAGCAGCAGGCGAGACAGGAGAGGTCTGCCACGCCATGTGGGATTCTCGCTGGCTAGTTGGGATCAAACCCGTGCTGCAGAGGCTGCAGACAGCTTCACAACGCTGTGCTCAACCGCCTGGGCCACCAGGGGAGGTCTGATAGCTCATTTCTTTTGAGCGTTAAGTATTATTCCATTGTCTGGAAGTACCACAGTTTGCTTATCTATTCACCATATACTACAAGAATTCTTGGTTGCTTCCAAGTTTTGGCCATTATAAAGATAGCTGTTGGAAACATCTGTATGTAGGTTTTCGTGTAGACAGGTTTTCAATTCCTTTGGGTAAATATCAAGAGGCACAACTGTTGGGTCATATGGTAAGACTATGTTTAGCTTTGTAAGAAGCTGCTAAACTGTCTTCCAAAGTGGCTATTCCATTTTGCATTCATTCTCATCAGCAATGAATAAGAGTTCCTGTTGCTTCACATCCTCGCGAACACCTAATAATGTCAGTGCTTCTAATTTTGGCTGTTCTGACAGGCGTGTTGTGGTATCTCATTATTTTAATTTGTGATTCCCTAATGACATATGATGTTGAGCACCTTTCACATGCTTATTTGTCATCTGTATATCTTTTTTGGTGAGGTGTCTGTTTAGATCTGTTACCCAATTTTTAATTGGGCTGTTTTCTTATTGTTGAGATTTAAGAATTCTTTGTATATTTTGGTTACCTTTATCTGATATGCATTTTATAAAGATTTTTCTCCCAGTTTGTGGTTTATCATTCTCTTTACACTGTGTGTGATGACCAGTTTAATGTGTCTGGGATACCCAGGTAGTTGGTAAGACATGATTTCTGGATGTGTCTGGGAGGTGTTTCCAGAAGAGATTAGCATTAGCAGACTGCCTACAGAAGCATGTCCTCATGAATTCAGTTGGGCGTCATGCAATCCACTCAGGGCATGAATAGGAAACAAAAACAAAGATGAATTTACACTCTGAATTTTAACATCTATCTTTCCTGTTCTCAAACACTGGCATTCCTGGTTTTTGGGCCTTTAAACCGGGACCAAATTATAGCGCTGGCTTTCCTAGTTCTCCAGTTTGCAGCCTGGCTTCCCCTTAGCCAGTTCCTTTAATAAATCTCTTTCTCTATTCATCTATCCATCCATCCTATTGGTTCTATTTCTCTGGAAATAGAAACCCTAAGTGTCTTTTATTAAGCAGAAGGTTTTAATTTTAATGACATCAATTTATCAATTTTTTTCTTGCATGTATTGTACTTTTGATGTTGTAACTAAGGACTCACAACCAAACTTAAAAGAAGATTTTTAAAAAGCATAATTCTACAAATCCAAGGAGAACAGGAAAGGAGTGTCTACAACAAAATTTTGGAAGCTAGCAGGCAGACAAAGGAATTAAATGACTTAGCAGACCTAAGAAAAATGGGAAGAATCAAATCTCAGCCAACCCATATTGCAAAACCTTAAAGGCTGGAGAGTTGGAGGCACCAGTTACCTCTGGAAGTGAGAGTAAAGCACTCAGCTAAAACAAAGAAACTTAAAGTCTACTTCCCTTTCTCCACATGCAGTGGCTAGTGACTGCTCTACCCACCCTGTCCCAGCAAAAATTCATATCTCCCCTCATCCCATCAAACTGGGTAGAAGAGCCAGTGATGTCCTTTTTTCAGACCTTACATATTAGGCTGATCATTTTCCACAGTGTCAATTTACTTCATGTGGCTGCTTTGGCACTGTAACCAGCTTTAACATCCTTTAAACACATGCTAAAAAATTCAGTAACAAAAACCATGAAGAGAAAATGTCTTTACTCCTCCTATTGACCTACTTAGCACTAAAGATAGGTATCAGTTCTCGGGGCACAAAACATTCACTTTTGAAAAAACCTTTACACCTCATACTGTTCCTGGAACAGTCTCTTAGGCACATTTCTTTTGGCAGTCTAGACTCTGAAAATCCTGATGCCACAGATTATGGTTATTAATAGCTGCCACAATGGAAGATGAGTCTGTTATAAAGTAAAACTCAGCCTGATTACACAGGAGAAGGTACAGGGATCACTGGGCTTGAAGATGAAAATAGGCAGTAAATTAGTTCCCAGGGCAGGATCACCAAGTGTTCATGAAAAGAAAAGTTTCACAGTGTTTCTTAACAGGGGGATTGTGAAAATGAAAATTAAATTACATGAAACAGAAAAGAAACTCCAAAATAGGATTGATGGGCCTCTCTGGTGGCGCAGCGGTTGAGCGCTGGGCTGCGAAGCTACCTGCAGCCTCTGCAGCACCGGTTCGATCCCCGGCCTCCGGGCGAGGGTCCCACATGGCGCGCAGACCTCTCCTGCAGCGCCCACTGCTCCCCTCAGCAGTGTACTTTCGTCAGTCTGTCTGTTCTGCTCCCCCGCCCCCCCTCCCCCCAGCTCTGGTGAATTCTCTCACCCTCCCGAGCTTCTGACTGTACCCAGTGCTTGTATAAATAAATTAATTAATTAAAGAAAAAAAAAATAGGATTGATGATTCTAAGATTGTAAAGACCCTGCCTTTGAAGAAGCAGTCCCTGGAGAATGGAAAACAGGGAGAGAGTCTTCCTAAAGTCTACTGCTACTTTAAAAGAAAAATTCAAATAAAAATTTTGTTAATAAAAATATGAAGGCAATCTCCCTGAAATTGCTTGGGCTCACAAAAGAGAGCAGACAGCTACCATGTGAAGAGTTCTTGCCTCTAGTCAAACCACTGAGGATTTCCTGAGAAACGCAATTTCATTTTGATCAGATGAATCAAATCACTGTTTAGGTACACATGAGTGTTAGATTCTGTAAGTCTAGCCTACTTATTTCTTTTGCTTAGTAAAGTTTGACATTACTTATGTGTTTAATTTAGTACTAATCACATCATTTTATATGCTATAAAGTCAAGTTCCCATTTACATGGAAACTAGCGAGACAATGACTGAGATAATGTGAATGAAGTCCAAAGAAAAGAGATTTATATTTCTGAAGAGCAGTGCTCTTTGTCCTTGCTAAACTCCACACTGTCCAAAATACTGTTTGTAGAGTGGGCTCATGTTCTCTCCCTGGACTGATTCATTATTTATTTAGTTTTCATTTTCCAGAATAAATAGCTTATGACTATCAGAATCATCTAGTGAGGTTTCGACAACTAAACGTGGGGAAGAATACAAACTTCCTCTCCCTCCTCATTCATTCTGATGGTTAGCATTTGTTTTTAGCTGTAGATAGTGAAACTAGATGAAAGTAGTATAACAGAAAAAAAGTGTTTTCCTCTAATGTGAAATAAGTTTTTAGTTTAGAAAGTGAAACCTTTACATACAAATGAAGGATGAACCACAAAGAAATTCTACTATATTCCCACAGGAATACTTAGTATTAAAAAGTCTGACACTACCAATATTGGCAAGGACGTGGTACAAAAGAAACTCAGACACTGTTGACAGGAATATAAAATTGTACAACCACTATGGAAGGAAGCATGGAGGCTTTTAAAAAAATTTAAACATATACCCTTTGATCCAACAGTTGCACTCCTATGAGTTTACCTAAGAGAACTGAACAGGTATGCCCATAAAGTGACATACAAAAATATTCACAGTACCTATGTTAATATTAGCTTTAAACTGGAAATAGCACAGGTGTCCCTCAATAGGAAAATGGATACAGAAACTGTGACATATTCATATAATACAACACTACTTGGCAATAACAAAGATACATGTAAGAAGAAGGATGAATCTCAAAAACCTAATGCTGAGTAATGGAATTCTATCACAACACAGTATACATGATAGGATGACATATATGCGAAGTTTCAGAATAGTTAAAATTCACCTATGGTGAAGATCGGGACATAGCAGGAGAGGGAACTGACTGTGAAAGGGCACAAGTAAACTTTCCAGGGTGATGGTAATGTTCTGTATTTTGATAGGTTTGGATTAGTAACTGTATGGATTTGTTACAATTTCTGACTTATGTATTTGATTCTATACAAGTATTACTTAGAAACACTGAACTCTAGTTATTTAAATGCATTGCTTAAGTATTTAGAAGGAAGTGTATTGTTTGCAAATCACTTTGACATGCATCCAAAAAAAAGACAGATGGGGCCTCCCTGGTGGTGTAGGCATTTGAGCACAGCGCTGTGAGGCTGTCCGCAGCCTCTGCAGTGCCCGTTCAATCCCTGCCGGCCGGGGAGATACCCACATGGTGCAGCAGACCTCTCCTGTCTCGCCCACTGCTCCCCTCAGCAGTGTATTTCAGTCAGTCTGCCTATTCTGTTCCCCACTCTGTCTCTGGTGAATCCTTTCACCCTCCCACACATCTGGCCTGCACCCCGGTTCTTGTATGCATGAATAAATAAATCTGAAAAAAAAAGAGACAGATGGACCAATCTATGGTAAAGCAAGTATAGTAATATATTAATGGTAGAACCTAAATGGTGAATATAAAATTCTTTTGAGTTTATTGTATGTTTGAAGATTTTCATAGTAAAATGTTAGGAAAAAATGAAGAATGCTGGGAAACCACCTGCCTGCTTAGGGTTTAAAACCAGACTCATATGTATTTTCCAAATTAGGAAACACCTAAAGAATACTTTTTGCTCAGAGTTTTACAAAAGATTATGTGGAAGATTAACATTTTCAAAGGGAAAAAATGGTCGGTTACATAAAGCTGCAATTTGATAAATGTTTTGGGGACAGAGAGCATGATGAATCTTATTTTTGCTATTTTTTTTTTTTTTAAGATTTATTTATTTTTTTATACAAGCACTGGGTACAGTCAGAAGCGCGGGAGGGTGAGAGAATTCACCAGAGCCAGAGCAGGAAACAGAACAGGCAGACTGACGATATACACTGCTGAGGGGAGCAGCGGTCGGCAGGAGAGGTCTGTGCGCCATGTGGGACCCTCGCCGGCGGTTGGGGATCGAACCAGCGCTGCAGAGGCTGCTCAACCGCTGAGCAACCAGCTGCTCTACCAGCTCAACCACTGCGCCTCCAGGGGAGGCCCTTATTTTTGCTATTTCTATGTGAACTGTTTTTCTCCATGCCTTTTAAGTGTTTTGTTTTAATTTTTTTTTCTAAACAAAAAATATTTAACGGTGTAGCTGACATTGTAAAAGTCCTGAAAATGAGCTGAAAGTACTCCATTTTTACCCTAAGATTCCCTAACTTATAAGCAATTGGTGTCTCATTGATTTCCTTTTCACATGTAGGGTACTTGTTCATAGAAGGGCCATGAGTCTCCCGCCCTTGTCACCAACCCAGATCCCTATTGGGTGTATTGTAAACAGAGAAGCCATTTCTTCCAGCCCCCTGCTCTGAGCACACCCCAGCATGCCTTTAAGTGTTGCAGCTGTTACCTGTCATGACATTTACTTTGACAAAGCTGAGATAAATTTTAGGATCAAACAGCTCCATGTGATTTCATGGATATTATCTTATTCACCCTTGAAGTAGTGAAGAAGATAATCAGCATTTGTTGAGTATAGTTGAGCAGGTGTTATGCTGTCCATTTTACAGATAGAGAAAATAAGGAGGATAGAGAAACTAAGACTTATTTAAGGCAGCATCCATAATAATAGCACACCGAGAGCTTACTACGTGAATGTTACAATGATTCTCATAATAATCCTCATACAAGCTTTCATTTTATACAGGAGGAAACTGAGGCTTATGGAAAACAAGTAATTTGGCCAAAGCTTATCATCCAAACTTCTATCTTCTAACTCTCCCAAGTGAGGTCTAATTAATGAATGGTTCTGAACATATTGTTCTGCCAAAACACTGAGGATAGATGTCCACATTCCTGTGGGCATAACCAAAGTTATATATAATTCCATCAGCTACCTGTAATTCAACTGCTGGTTTTTGTTTTTTGTCTTTTTTTTTTTTGGTCTAGAAAGCACATTGGAATGCAAGTATGATATAAAAAAAAACCCTTGAGGGCATCCCTGGTAGTGCAAGGGTTGTTAAGCACAGCACTGTGAAGCTGCCCACAGCCTCTGCAGCATGAGTTCGATCCCCGGCGAGGGAGCTATCTACATGGCGCAGCGGACCTCTCCTGTCTCACCTGCTGCTCCCCTCAGCAGTGTATTTCAATCAGTCTGTGTGTTCTATTCCCCACTCTGTCTCTGGTGAATACTCTCCCCACCTCCACACCTCTGGCCTATATCCAAGTTCTTGTATGCATAAATAAATAAATCTTTAAAAAAAAAAATAAAGATATGGGCCTCCCTAGTGGCGCAGCGGTTGAGCACTGGGTTGCAAAGCTGCCTACAGCCTCTGCAGCACCAGTTCCATCCCCGGCTGCTCCCCGGCCTCCGGAGGAGGGTCCCACATGGCGCGCAGACCTCTCCTGCCGCCCGCTGCTCCCCTCAGCAGTGTACTTCGGTCCTTCTGCCTGCTCTGCTCCCCACTCTGGCTCTGGTGAATTCTCTCACCCTCCCACACTTCTGACTGTACCCAGTGCTTGTATAAATAAATAAAAAAATTAATAAAAATAAGTATAAACTGAAGAGTAGAAGTCCTTTCTTTCCTCTACCCTCTAGTCTCATTGCACTCCCCAGGAGTAACCATCCTGAAAAATTTCTTGTGTGTCTGTCCAAACTTGTTCTATATATATACATGTACATATATGTGTATCCTATATGGGACTTCAAAAATATTCTCTCATCTTAGACTGATACTTTCCTTTGTGTAACCTGGTCAACAGAGTCATTATATCACATAATAATATGCATAAGAAGTACTGCAGCATGTCCTAAACTTTGCAAAGACATAACTGTATTGTTCTCCCTAGGTACAGCTCACCTGTTTTCCAGATCCGGCATGCTTAGGTTTCTAGCAGCAAAACACATTTTGAGAGGGATGACCTTCCTGTCCTTGGTGCTATTCTGGTGTTTTGGAGAACCAGAGTCTTCACTGCCACTAAAGCTTGGTGACTGGGGAGCTGCACCTTCCCATGGCAGATCTGATACTAATGATGGCTTCTTGATATATGGAGTGACTTCTCGGATGAACTTGACTACGAACAAAAATCAAAGAAGGTGGTTAGTATTTTTACTCCTAATGAAAAATGACAACAGAGTATATACTTACATGCAATATCTAGTTGAAATGAAAAAAAAAAAAAAAAAAAAGCCATAAGCTAAAGAGTCAGCACCAAGAAGTTTAGGACAGGAGAGTCCTTTAAGGCGCATAGTCAAAATGAAGTTACCAGTTTCACAATTCTAAAAATGTTAACTTCTGAGCCTTTGCATGTATTGTTTCTACTGCTTAAGATTCCTTTTTCCCTTTGTCTAGACAATTCTACTTAAAATTCACCCCCTCAGCTGCTTTTTCTGTCCACTGTCTCTGCGGCATTACTATTACACCTCTGAATAACCTCAGCACCCTAAGGCTATAATTCTTTGTAAAATTCTCTTCCTCTGCTGGCTGTGAGTTCTCTGAGAATAGGGATTATGATTTATTTAGTCTTGGTATTCAACACCTAGAACAGTATTCAGTACTTTTGAATTAATGAGTGAAGGAACAAATGAATAATTAAATACTTGAAAATCTCAGCAGTTGGCCAGTCATGAATGACAGTGATACTAAAGATAGATTCACTACCTCCTGAACAGTACCATCTTGCTTTAGATGACTCTTAACACTTAGAACTGAAATTTCCATTGACTGGTTTGCTATTTACTGATGCTCCACAGAACAAACTTTTCTCTTCCACATGAGAATCCTTCAAATATCTGAAGAGTTATGTGAATTTAGCTGACTGTCCTGAGGACCTCATCTATAAAATGGGAGTAACAAACTAAACAAGTAAAAATTCTATGGATATACAAAACACTGGATAAATAGTAGGTGCTTTTCTCCCTGCCCCCACCCTGCAAGTTAGAAAGTTAGAGAAGTTAAAATTTTTTTAATAGTAATCACTAGAAGAGGTAAATTTAATTCCTTAGGAGCTATTACACAAGAGCTGATACAATTAAGTGTATTCTAGAAAACATAATAATGTTAACACAGGCATTTAGATATAGTTTGCACGTTTGTATGTATGTGTGTGCTTTCCATGCATAGTTATAATTTGTATATTTCTAGGTGGAGACAGTAAAAGCTAACTGCCTCAGGTCACCAAGAATTTTTCATACCAGAAAAATGAACAGGGTGTAGCCAGTATGTCCCGTGAATGGCTGACTCAGGCATTGCAATACATTCTTTAGCTTTGAGCTTCCAAGAAAGGATTACAACACATGAACTGTGGCTGAAATTTCTGTTGTTTCTAATTTACTACCAATGGCAGAGGCTAGTTATTTCACATTTAAGGCAATGTACCAACTACTGGGCTACCAACTTGCGGAAATACTAGACACTGTAAATGACTACTCTTGAATGTTATAGTGATTAGAAGAGAGCCGTTATGATTTACTCAGTTCATTTACTCAGTCACACAGGGCGATCACAGAACTGACTACCGCACACATATTGAAATGAAATGGACACACACGTACAACCTATTGCATAGTCTTCTTAAAAGCAATGATTTTACTTGAGTTGATGACAATGCCATCCGTATCCACATCTAATTAGCCATCCATAATGGCTAAAGAAGTGAGAATACAGATCTTTCTAATTTACCTAAGATTTGGGGAAGGCAGAAAATTAACAACAACATTTTGTTTTAGTCCCAAACGTAGACCTCCCCAGTTGCCACATTGATTTAACCTGGCGACACCTCACCTCCACATGGCCTTCTGGTCAATTCAGAATCATGATACATTTAAAACTGTTTCATTTTCTCTAACAGTTAAAGATCATCCTCAAAATATTTAATTAAACAATGATGTTTGTAGTGTTTTAGGTATTTAGATGATAAAGTTAATTTTCTTATTTCCATGCATGATTACTCTTACTGAAAATGAAGGGGGCATCCACCCCCCCCCCCATCCCAGAAGCATCGCTATAACCCCTTCTCTTCAGAGTGACGAAAGCATACACATGTACTATATACAACCTGGAAAAAACTTAAGACATGAAGAAAACTTATTTGGAAACTTGGCTCAAATTTTAAATATGGAACCACCTTAAACTGAAATCTTGTTGAACCTTCAAAAACTATAATTCACTGGCTGGGATCCAAGATCCAAGTGATCCTTACTGAATTTAATAATCTGATGAGTAGAGTTACAGGAGTAACAAGGTATACGGCTGTACTGGTTTGGGACATTAGGCAACATCTGATTTTAAATTGAATGTTATTTGTATGGCTTTTGAAAGCCTGCCCAAAAAAATACATCATAGTGCAGACATGGCCTATGGTTGTAAATGTAAGTTATTTCAGTCAATCGATCACCTTGCTTTAAAAACATTAATATCTCACATCTCACCCCTGTTATGTCCTTTACCATGAGTTTGAGTGTAACTAAATGGGTCAGGCAATGTAGGGAGAATGGTGCCATTAATTCCCCTGCTTTTGCAAGCAAGTTTGTTTCTGGGGTATCCTTGTGGTGGAATAGCTGGCTTTTCATTTTGCTTACAAATGAGTTATGTTGGCATCTGTTATTCTCCCAAGAGGTTTCTCTTCAACCTTATCCAAATCTCCTCCTCAAAATCATGAGTCTGACAGATGGCCACTAAAAACATTAGTAGGGAATTACTTTACCTTCAGTAAAAAGTCTCTTTTACATTATAAACTTGCAAGTGTCTTTCAGTTCAAGACTCCTGCCATTTGGGGTTTGAATAGCTTGCACAGCCTAGGATTTGGTGATGTAAATCTTGAAACATGTTCAGAGTGACTATGGCTTCAATATTCTTTTCTATTTCAAAGTAACATGGCATATTCACTAATGTACTGGGCTCCCATTATGTGCTAGGAACTGTTTTTAGAAACTTAGAATAGTACCAGTAAACAAAACATGTTTTAAAAAAGATAAATGCTACTAAAAAGTTATATTCCAAAGAAACAAAAGCTTATGTTCACAAAAGCCTATACACAAATGGTTTTAGCATCTCTATTCATAAGTGCCCAAGCTGGAAACAACCCAAATTTCCTTTACTGGATGAATGGATAAATTGAGGTACAGTTATAGAATAGACTACTACTCAGCAATATAAAGGAATGAACTATTGATATACTCAGCAAGTTGGATGAATTTCAAGAGCTTGCTGAGTTAAAAATGGCAGGATCCGATTATTAAAGGGAATAGTGTATGATGAATAGAGTAGTGGCTGCCAGGAGTAGGGAGGGTACAATTATAATGGGATAACATGACCATTTTTTTGAGTATAGACTGTTCCATATCCTGATTTGTAATGATAGTCACACGAATTTATATGTATTAAAATTCACAGAACTATGATCCCTAAAAAGTGTGTGTGAATTTTACTGCATAATTTAAAATAAAAAATAAATTATATGCTATATTAGTAGAGTGAAAGAGGACAGAAGCAGGAAGACCAGGCAGAAGCTATTAGAGGTGAGAGATTATGGCAGTTGGTCAGAATGGTGGTGGTGAGAAGTAGTCAGATTGTCTACTAAGGGTGGACCTAGTCAGATGTCCTGACAGATTGGATAAGGGAGATGAGGGGGAAAAGAGGATCAAGGTTGATTCTGAGATTTTCATCTTGAACAACTAGGAGACAGAGTTGCTATTAAAAGGTTCAGGAGACTGGATCAGTAAGTTGAGATATATATTAATCAAGACTACTGAGCAGCCAGATATATGAGTCTACAGGAGACAAGTCTGGGATGGAGCTATAAATTTGGGACCTATTGACATGTGGCTGATATTTAAAACTACAAAACTAGATAGATAAGATCACTGTATCAGTCAAGGTGTGCAAGAAACAGGTACAAGGTTAGTAAAGGGACGGGGAAACCAAAAGGTAAAATAGAGTGATTTCCTGTTTCCACACCTAGGTCTGAAGGGATTGAGAGGAAGTAGTAACCAGATCAGAAGAGGAGAATCGCATAGAGGACTGATTTGAGAGGAGCAGTGACCTGCTCCAATTCAGACAGACTTCAGCTACCCTGCAGACTGGGAGCCATGGAAAGACGTGTTCCAACCTTCTCACCTCCCTTTTCCTTCCAGTATTCTAGTGGAGCTTGACCTTAGCCAAACTCAACAAAAGCCCAAGGGCAAAGAGGCTTGTCCATATCATCCATGCAGGTAGGCCTCCTGGGGCAGAAAGCAGGTAGCCAAGGAAGAGCGGTCCTAGAGAAGCAAACAGAAGACTTGCAGCACAATCATCAAGAAAGTGAGAACAAATAAGGAAGCGACAAGCCACCGTCAAAGGGCTGGGGACAAAGAGAGGCACAGCAAGAGTCAGGAGCCCTGGGAAAGACAAACACGCCATATAAATTTTGACCTAAAATAGCACCAAGCTTACCCAAACCAAAAAAACCTTGCCTTGACCTTACTAACCTTGACTTCCTCTCTTCTACTCCTTGCTGTTTTGTTTCTCCTGTCTTTTTGCTCCTTAATCTCTCTGAATAAAAGCACATTCTGAAGCGTCATTAATGTTTTCTTAAAAACCCAATCCAAAAGTCCTTTCTCAAGCCAAAAAGAAAAAGAAAAATACCGGATGGTCTCACTCATAGCAGGAATCTAGAAAACTTAAATAAGGGACCAGGAAAACTAATAACTATAAGAAAGTGAAAATCAAAATCAACAAAAAACTACGAACCAGAGATACTTTTAGGGGGGCGGGGGTGGGAGGGGAGGGACTGGGGTCAGAATGGGGGGGCTGCAATTGTATGGGGAATATAAAAATAAAATTTATTATTGAAAAAAAAAAAAGTCCTTTCTCAATACTGATTGTATTTTTTTGTTCAGTAATAAATTTTTATTATGGCAATGCTGGTGTATAATAGTACATAAATTTCAGGTGTACAGCATTACAATTTGACATCTAGATACTCTACATCGTGATTATCACCAAAAGTCTAGCTTCCATCTGTCACCTTGCAGTTGACCCCTTTTACTCATCCACATCCCCCTTCGCTCTGGTAACTTCCAATCTGTGCTCTGT